AAAAAAAAGTTTAAGGGGCTGAAGAGATGGCTCAGCGGTTAAGAGCACTGCCTGCTCTTCCATCTTTCAAAGGTTCTGAGTTCAATTCCCAGCAACCACATGGTGGCTCACAACCATCTGTAATGAGATCTGGTGTCCTCTTCTGGCCTGCAGATGCACATGCAGACAGAACACTGTATACATAATAAATTACTGTCCAGCTAGAACAGGCCAGATGACTCCAGAACTGAGCTGATAATTACTTTCCAGGTAACCAGAGACCTGGAAGGTTCTGGATAGCAATGTCTGCTTTCCCAGAGAGCCAGAGAATAGATGTTCTCCAAACATGCCGAGTCAGGGACTTGGGGTTCCCAGCCCACACTTGTACTCTGAAGACAGGAGATCTTTGAGGGCTTGAGGAGAGCAGGGATGGAGAGGCTCCTCCCACCAGCAGGCAGGGTCTCCTTCCTTCGGCCTCAGTCTAGTTCCAGCTTCGGGGTTGCAATATGGGAACAGGATTATGAAGCACAGTTCAAAGGTTTGGAAGAGCTGGCAAGTGGAGCAAAGGCTTTGCTGAGTCTCTCACAGAGGAGCTGGCGCGTGGAGCAAAGGCTTTGCTGAGTTTCTCACACAGACTTTTTCCCTGACACCATTTGTTCATGGTCCTTGGCCACATAGCCACAAGACTGCCTGAGAATAAATCCCAGGCTGCTGTAGCCCGTGTGACTGGGCAACAGGGAAGCTAAGTTCTGTCCTAGGTTCCAGATAACTCTGGGATTCCTTTGGTCTCAAGCCCATTTCCTGGCACCCATGGATGTAAACTGAGCTTTTCGTTAGCTGCTAGGAACCTCCAGCCTCCCCCCACCCGTCCAGGGCCTGATGGCTTCCGGTTCCAGTTATTGTCATTCTGGTGTTCTTTCTGAACACATCTTAAGGAAGAGTGTCGGGGGCCAGGCTCGACAAAAATACCTTTCTTCCAGAGTGGAGGTGTGGGAATTTAGAAATATAGTAAATGTTAAAAATGCTGCAAGATCCCCAGCGGCAGTAGGCAGGCAGGGGGCCCTGAGAGCAGCCAGTTCCAGGCAGAGACAGCTGCCGGTTCCTGAGCAGAGAGCCCGGGGGTGTGAGCAGGTGGCAGGTAGAAGGGACATGGGCAGACACATCGTACATAATAGAATTNCTTGAACTCCTGATCCTCCTTCCTCCTACTTCTCAAAGCTTGGCTTGCAGCTGTGTGTCACCACGCCCAGCTCTTGTCGTTATTTTATCCCTTTAAAGAGTCTCTTATTTGTTTATTGATTGTGTGTGCGAGTTTTGCCTGCATAGACTATGTACACCATGGGTAGACCTGCTGCCTACGGAGGTCAGGAGAGGGGTGTCAGATCTGAAACAAGTTACCAACGGCTGTGAGTCAGAGTATGGATGCTGAGAGCCGAATCTGGGTCCTCTGCAAGAACAACAAGTGCTCTTGATGGCCGACGCATCTCTCTGGCCCCCTTGTCATTTTGATTACAAAGCACACCCTGATTAGCTGTAAACACCCTACTGTGTGAGAGACCTGGAGCCTGATCCTGCTGGTTTCTACTGTCAACATAGCTTGGTGCCACCCATGAAGTGCCCTTTGCCATCACAGAAGCTCAGATTGGTTCATCAGTGCCTTTCTTGCTTTTATTGCTTTTTCCAGCCTTGAGAGGAGAAGGAATGAAGAATGGAATACTAAGCCATAAACTTCTGGTGCCTGGTAATACGGGCTGAGAGGAGATAGGGCCTTTCCTTGAGCCTGAGAGAGTCAGAGTGNGGTTCCTGAGCAGAGAGCCCGGGGGTGTGAGCAGGTGGCAGGTAGAAGGGACATGGGCAGACACATCGTACATAATAGAATTGGATATTTATTATTTGGGGGGGGGGGAGAGACGAAGGAGAAGAGGAAGAGAGAGACAGAAAAAGGAGAGTGGGAGAGAAGAGGGACTTAGCTCAGCCCACACCGAGCCAGAGTTCCCTGGCACCCGGGGTCTTCTCTGGCCAGCGCGGTCCTCCCTGCGCGAGCTGCAGGTCACCGGGCTGTGGCGTCCTGGGTCTCGCAGCCACTTCCGCTGACGTCCCCGGGTCGCGTGCCCAGGCGGGTAGGGACCGTTATGCCCTGCTTAGACACCAGCCTTCCCTGTGGGATCCGGGCCGCAGCCCTCGAGGCGCTCTTCCTGTCCGCCAAGGGGACCGACTGGACCGGACCGCTAAAGGGAAGCTGTCGGCGAGGCCGTCTTCGAAGACCCCCAAACGGACCCTGGATTGTGAGTAACCCTTAAAAAACACATTTTTAGGTTGGGCCGGACAGCACACTCCTTTAATCCCAATACTGCAGTTGCAGAGGCAGGAGGATTTCTGAGTTCGAGGTCAGCTTGATCTACATAGGGAGTTCTGGGATAGCTAAAGCTACACAGTGAGAACCTATCTCAAAAGAATTAGACCCAGCATTCGGGAGGCAGAGGCAGGCAGATTGCTGGGAGTTCGAGGCCAGCCTACTCTATATAGCCAAGTTCTGGGACAGTCAGAGGTACATAGAGAGACCCTGTCTCAAAATAATAAATACATAATAGGAAATTACACGTGATAATAGAAGAAAATATGTAGAGTTGCTAAGTTTAGCTGCCTCCCCTTCTGAAACCTAAAAGGAGCAAACATTTAACATGAAGGATTTGGCAGTGGGGTCTTTTGGTTTTGTTTTGTACTCTTGAGACTAAGTCTCACTGAGTAGTCCAAGTTGGCCTTGAACTCTTGAACCTTCTGTCAGCCTCAGGAGTTCTGGTGTGCTGGGCATAAAATCATGCTAAAATCAGCTAAAATCATGGTATCTCTTGAATGTTCACAGTATCTACAGCAGGCACAGACACTTGCAGCAGACTGTAGCTTCAATTCCAGGAGATCTGACCTCCACAGGTACCTATACTCATGTGCACCCCTCCACACACACAATTTAAAAAAATCGGGGGGCTGGAGAGATGGCTCAGTGGTTAAGAGCACCTCCTGCTCTTCCAAAGTTCCTGAGTTCAATTCCTAGCAACCACATGGTGGCTCACAACCATCTGTAATGAGATCTGGTGTCCTCTTCTGGCCTGCAGGCAGAGCACTGAGAATAATGTATACATAATAAATAAATAAATCTTTTAAAAAAATCGGCCAGGAGGTACCTCACCAGCAAGTAGCACTCTCTCTTCTCAAAACTTGCTGGATGGCTCCTGCTCTGTTCCCAAAGAGGATGCTGGTTGCACTCAGCCTACAGAAGAGGCCCAGAGGTACTTCCTAGCCAGAGAAAGCCTGGGATCTGCGATCCTGGAACCAGAGCAAGGCACAGCCATTTACAGCCGGGTGTGCAGTAGCCAGTGCTGTTGTCCCTGGCTCTGGGAAGTTGTTAGTGTGTAAAGTGCTGTTAAAACCCTCACTGGAGAGGGCACCCCTCTGAGTGCCAGTCTCAGTGCTGCCTCCTGGCGTTCAGACAGGACACTTACAGCAGCAGGAGCTGGCTAAAGGGATCTGACATGTCTTCTCTGT